TGGGGCCGTTAAGCCGAGGACTGCCTGCTAAGAAGAGAGCCGGTGGCTGCGACAGGCACACGCTCTCCACAAACACACACAAACACAAACACGCCCGCTCCGCTTACTGTGCACGCAGGTGATGTGTTCTTCCCGCAGCAGGCCGGGCTGAGCCGCGTTCTCGCCCGGCCGCTCTTCCGCCTCCTCCGGAGCCGCCTCGGCCGGCTGGCTCCCAACTTCCCCCCGGACGGACGGGGGCTCCGGCAGCCGGTCCTTGTCTCGGGGCCCTTGGAAAAGCTCCTCGGCCACGTGGCCTCCGATGCTGCAGACGTTGCTGATGAGGATGGTGGCGTCCGGCACGCCGGGCAGGGAGCAGAGGTCGCCGTCCGGAGGGAGGGAAGCGAAGCCGTTGGGAAGGGCATCCAGAGCATCTGCGGGGGGGGGGAGAGTTTAGAATTCGGGGCCGGCTCGTTGCGGTCGTAGGAACGGAAGAAAAAACTGGGCGGAGGGGCAAACGCGTCCCTGCCCCGCAAAATTCTGCAAATTTTGCCTGATTCGGGAACGAGTAGCCGTATCCGACAGGTGGGGTGGATCCTCCTGCGTCCACCGTGGCAACTTTTAACATGGGTGGACTTCAACTCCCATTACTCCCCAGCCAAGGGGGTGGGGAAGGTTGTGCTGGGCCTTTGGGATCTTTGATATGTACGTCCCTTGCGGCCCTCTTAATCTCTTATAATCCCTTCCTCTGCAATCTCTCCGCCCTGGTGGGAAGGATGGAAATAGACGGGGACGGCTGGCTGGGGAATTCTAGAAGTCCACCCATCTTCAAGTGGCCGCGGTTGAGAAACAGGGCTCTTCCAACTTGGCCCTTTGATGACTTGTGGACTTCAACTCCCAGAATTCCTCAGCTTGGCTGAGGAATTCTGGGAGTTGAAGTCCACAAGTCATCAAAGGGCCAAGCTGGAAGAGCCCTGGATTAAACGGACCCTGGAAAGGATCCGGATCCGAAGGAGAACTTCATTCTCCGGGAGACAACGGAGGGGGAGGGGAGAGGGCTGGTGTGCTGTGCTCCATGGAGTTGCAACGTCGGACATGACTTAGCCGCTGAACAACAATTGTGCTTTTCATTGTGGACTCTCTGGAGTCTCTGCCAGCCCCGCAGTACACAAATATTAATATGGTCTAATTTGGGTCAGTCAACGGGACCAAAGGTTTCGTCTTCCGAGGTTCCCGACTCGTCCTGGAGCCCGTCCTTGGGGAATTTCTCTCTGGCAAAGCCTGTGCCTTGGGCTACTCTGTGTGTGTGGCTTTTGAGTTGTTGGTTGAGGTGTTGAGGCTGGCTATCAAGTCCTTGGCTGCTGTTTCCTTGGGCTGCCCAGCCCTCTCCTCCCAAGCACTTGATAAGCTGGTGATAAATCAGCCCTCCAGTTGACGGTTCCCAGGCTTCAGTCGCCTCCCTGGCTGTTTTTGTCCCTGCTCGTCCGACAATCTTAGTTGGAATGTGTCTGAATATTAGTACTCAATCTTAGTAGCTACAAAATCGTACGTATGTCCCACGTAACAAACTCTGCTAGAGAGAAGTTTTCTGCAGGAGTTCAAAAGCTTGGAAAATTATAAAGCTTTGGTCCCGGGGACCGACCCAGATTGGATCCTGCCACATTATGTGGGGGACACGTCGATTTGCCTTCGTAGATTCATGAAAAATAGAATCATTAAATAAAATAGGAGACTTTCCCCCTCCCACCACCCAGTCGTGCCGGAGACGGTCAGCGGCCGTTTCGCCTGGCGTTTTCCAAACCATGAATTGAGGCCCTTATCACCACCACACATCAAGGCCCAACAGCCTCTGACATCACAACACCACAATGTAAACACACCCAAACCGCCCTGCCTCGTCTTTGCAACCTTTCCCGTTACCCTTTGCGTCCCTGCGTCTCAACCTCAGCGATTATACAGTAAGAGGGGCGGACTTCAACTCCCAGAATTCCCCAGCCGGAAAGAATTCGGGCTGGATCGACCAGAATTCAGTGTGGAAAGGGGGACACCTGTAGCTGGAGTAGCTTCACTGCATTTTTTGGGGGGGGGAGGTTGGGTAGCTTTCTTAATAGACGGTGGGAATGCGGTGGAAGTGATATACCTCGAGTTCCGCAAACTGCAATCACAACCCACGGCAAGCTAACTTAACCAATAGGTGAAATATGGGCTACATGGCATGACAATCAAAGGGTAAACTGATATGCTGGCTGGGGAGACCTGGAGGGGGTTGAAGACCACCCCTCTTAAAGTCGCTGAGGTTGAGAAACGCCAAACGTTTTGGTGGCATTTTCTGGACCTTCTAGCTTATCTTGCTCAAATCAATCAATGTCTGGGGCAGAGAACCATTAATAAAGGTTGCTAACATTGGACTTAGTTAGACATCCAATATTGTAATAAGAGATGATAAGGCATGGCAGGATAAAAGAACTGGGCGGAAAGCCAGCATTTCAAACTAATTGGACAATGTGATTTATGACTGTAAGTTGTAGGAGGGAATTGGGCTTTGATCTATGGGCTCAGGGGAGGGGAAATTCAGATTTTTGGCTTTGCCTGTGTACCTGCCGATGCTATGCTTCTCCAATAAAGATTCTTTCAGGTAAACAATGCCTCAAAGTTCTTGGAAGGGTTTCATCTGTCGGAACCAGGACAGGTTGCAATTTGACCTCGCCTAAGGACAGCACTGTTGAATACGGGATCTTTCCGCTTAGGATACCAACCCAACTTGCTTGTTGATGGACGGGGAGGGGGAATGCCCAACAGTTCAAGCCAACTCTTAATGCGTTACTTCTAGGAAAGCCCCACACATAAATTAGCACATTGAAAAAACCACAAGGTTCCAGAACCACAGACTTGGAAGGGACCTTAGAGGTCGTTCTAGTCCAGGGGTCACCAACCTTTCTGGGCTGGCGGACCGGCGGGAAAGGGGACAGGCACCTTTATGCACGCATGCGCCCATGCGGCTGCGTGTGCGTGAATGGGGGCCGTGAGCATGTGTGCTCTGCAAATGGGGCTGCTAGCGCCGGAGCGCGGCTTGGCTAGCACCATTGAGAGGCTTTGTGGCTTGGCTAGCGCCAGCGAGAGACTCAAGAGTTTTGCTAGCGCCGGTGTGCAGCTTATGGCTTGGCTAGTGCCAGCGACGCATTTTGGCTAGTGCCACTGCGCAGCTCATGGTTTGGCTAGCGCCGGCTTGCCACTCACCTAGCAACAGCGAGAAACTCACGACTCGGCTAGCACCAGCGCAAGGGAAGGGGGCGAGCGGTCGCGCATCCACACATGCACTGGCCAGCCACTCACACGGCCCATTGGCCAAGTGGCCACGGGCCGGTATGGGCCATGTCTCATAGGTTGGGAACCTCTGTTCCAGTCCAATGTCCTGCCCTATTCTGTTCTGGACAAATGGACGTCCAGCCTCTTCTTAAAAACCTCCCCTGTTGGAGCACCCACAGGTTCTGGTGGCAAGCCGTTCCACAGGCTAACTGTTCTCCTGTCATGGGGTTTCTCCTTAGTTCTAGCTTGGACCTGGGTTCTAGAGCAGAATCCCCCCCCCGTTTCCCTTTTACCTCCATCTCCGTCCAGGCCGTGCTGCGGCTCTCCCATCTTCCTACTCCTGGGGGACACCTGGGACCCCCGGGCTGGGTACTTGAGGGGAGGGGCCGGCTCTTCCTCCTCCTCCAGCTCCATCGCGCCAGCGTCCTGGTCGAAGCCCGCCCGCTGGACCTCCATGTAGTGGGGGAAGGGGGAGGCCTCTTCCATCAGGGCCCCCAGCAAGTTGAGGCGGGAGTGCTGAGGCGTGGAGGGAGACGGGGGGAAGGCTCCCCCCAATTCGTAGTCCAGGCGGGGCTCAGACGAGGGAGGCCTGCAGCCAGCAGAGCGGAGACGGCCCTTGGCCGCGCTCGGGCAGTCCTCTGTCTCTGCTCCCAACGGGCAGCTTTTCTTAAAGACGGTGGGAAGGTGGTCGTCGTCGGGCTGGGAGCCGGGGGACAGGGACATGGACGACTGGGCCCGCTTGGCCCCTCCTCGCCGGCGCCCCTTGGCCGCCATCTTGCCCCACAGCTTCCAGTGGAAAGCCAGAGAGGAGCTCTTCGAATACAGGAGCATCCGGAAGGCGCGCAGAGCCCGCTGTCGCTTACGGCGGAAACAGTAGTGTCTGGAGGTGCCCGGCCTTCTGGCCGGAGCGCCGGTGGCCACCTCGAATGGCCAGGCGTGGCCCCCGCTCCTGGCAAACTTGCCCCGGGGGGCTTTGTGCTGGGGCAGCTCCGAAGGGCCCCCCGCCGCCCCCCAGCGGGAGACGCAGGAGAGATCCCACTGGCCCTCGCGTCCCTCGTCGCTGCTGGAGGAGGAGAGGTTGAAACTGGGCAGGGGCTCCTGGGCGCAAGCCAGGCGCCGGCTGCCCTCGAAGCCGCCGCCTCGCTGGTGCTCCGGGTCCCGCCATTCCCGGGAGGCCCTGCAAAAGCGGTCTGGGTGTCCCATGGGGGCGTGGAGGCTGGTGGAGGCCCCCCAGTAGTTCTTCTCTGGCAGGCTTTCCTTCATCGCTCCGACGGGCTGGAGGGGGGAGAGAGAAGAAAGAGACGCAGTCCTGATCAGGGGGGAAGGGGCCGGCGGGCTTCCCAGCGGAAGGATCGGAAACTGACCGGCTACTCGTTGGCTCACCGGGTGACACAAAAGGGGGCTTTGCAGAGCGGAGGACAACGGGACCCCAAACGCCGCAGTTAGGGGACTTCGGCCCATCCCCTGCTTGGTGCGACCTCATTTTATTATTTCTTAGGTGTTTACCCCACCTTTATTCTCTTATAAGTAACTTGTGATTGGCCCAAAGTCACCCAGCCGGCTTTCGTGCCTAAGGCGGGACTAGAACTCGCCTTCTCCTTGTGACTGGCCCAAAGTCAGCTAGCTGGCTTTCATGCCTAAGGCGGGACTAGAACTCACCATCTCCTGGTGATTGGCCCAAAGTCACCTAGTTGGATTTCATGCCTAAGGTGGGACTAGAACTCGCCGTCTCCTGGTGATTGGCCCAAAGTCACCTAGCTGGATTTCGCGCCTAAGGCGGGACTAGAACTCGCCGTCTCCTGGTGATTGGCCCAAAGTCAGCTAGCTGGCTTTCGCGCCTAAGGCAGGACTAGAACTCACCGTCTCCTGGTGATTGGCCCAAAGTCACCCAGCCGGCTTTCATGCCTAAGACGGGACAAGAACTCGCCGTCTCCTGGTGATTGCCGGGACTAGAACTCACAAGTCTCCTGAGGATTGACTCAAAGTCACCCAGCTAGCGTTCGTACCTAGGGCAAAACTAGAACTCGGCACCTCCTAGTTTCTACCTTAACCACTAGGCCAAACTGGCTCCCTGACCCTGGCTTTAGCCCCACTCCAGCCATTTTCTCCTCTTTAAAAACAGAGCAAACCCCCCAAAATGCAGCAGAGTCGAAAGCATTTTGGAGAACGACCCGTGTTCCTCTTTCACGACGGCTTCCGAAGAGTCAGCGCTTTTCCTGCCTGTGAGAACTCTCTGGGCAGGGACAGAAGGAGCCAATTCTGCATTTCCCCTCTTGGCTGTTCGAAGGTTGTCGGGACGCCTAGCACTGTTGTTGCTTTGTGTTTAAACCGCACACAATTGTTCAGAGAAGATGCTTCACTCGGGAGCGGGGGCTATGACGTTTGCCTGCCCGCTGGCCTGCGCTGCCCATACTTACAACGGTCCGTTCAGTGACCGAAGTTACAACGGCACTGAAAGTGTGACTTACGAGTGTTTTTCAAACTTACGACCTTTGCAGCGTCCCCCGGCTCATGGGATCAACATTCGGGCGCTGGGCAGCTGACTCGTATTTATGACGGTTGTAGCGTCCCGGGGAGGGGTGTGTGTCACGTGATCCCCTTTTGTGACCACCTGACAAGCCAAGTCAATGGGGAGGCCAGATCCATTTAACAACCACGTTACTAACTTAACAAGTGCAGTGATTAACAACTGCGGCAAGAAAGGGCGTAAAATGAAGCAAAACTCACTTAGCAACCATCTCCCTTAGCGACAGGAATGTTGGGCTCAATTGTGGTCGTGAGTCGAGGACTCCCTGTATAAGTGCAGTCTTAAGAACTGCCTTGAACAGACTCTCCGGCCACAACCCTGGCCACTTTTAGGACCGGCGGACTTCAACTCCCAGAATTCCCCAGCCTTTCTCCACCTCCTTAACAAGCGAGAGCCTTGAGCCTCCTTAAAGCCTCTTCCTAGACCCAGACGCTCAGCACATGCTCAGGAAACCATCAACCCTTCCCAAACGGTCAGGCTGAGGGTGGGAATTCCCAGGATTCCAGTGGGCCAGCTGGGGCGCCTGGGAAGGGGTCAAAGGTTGGAAAAATTAGGCTGAGCGTCAGGAACAGTCAGGCCTAAAAAACAGTTTGGCAACCAAAAAAAAAAAGCGTGATTGGACTTCAACATGCTGGCTGGGAATCCTGGGACTTCTGGTTCAGCCCTCTTAAAGCAGGGCTAGCTGAGGAATCCTGGGAGTTGTAGTCCAGATACCTTAAAGCAAGACTGGGTGGGGAATGCTGGGAGTTGTAGTCCAGATACCCTAAAGCAGGGCTGGGCGGGGAATGCAGGGAGTTGTAGTCCAGATACCTTAAAGCATGGCTGGCTGGCTGGGGAATCCTGGGAGTTGTAGTCCAGATACTTTAAAGCAGGGCTGGGAATCCTGGGACTTGCAGTCCAGACCCCTTAAAGCAGGACTGGGAATCCTGGGACTTGCAGTCCAGATACCTTAAAGCATGGCTGGCTGGCTGGCTGGGGAATCCTGGGACTTGCAGTCCAGACCCCTTAAAGCAGGGCTGGGAATGCTGGGACTTGCAGTCCAGACCCCTTAAAGCAGGGCTGGGAATCCTGGGACTTGCAGTCCAGACCCCTTAAAGCAGGGCTGGGAATCCTGGGACTTGCAGTCCAGATACCTTAAAGCATGGCTGGCTGGCTGGCTGGGGAATCCTGGGACTTGCAGTCCAGTCACCTTAAAGCAGGGCTGGGAATCCTGGGACTTGCAGTCCAGACCCCTTAAAGCATGGCTGGGAATGCTGGGACTTGCAGTCCAGACCCCTTAAAGCAGGGCTGGGAATACTGGGACTTGCAGTCCAGTCACCTTAAAGCAGGGCTGGGAATCCTGGGACTTGCAGTCCAGTCACCTTAAAGCAGGGCTAGCTGGCTGGCTGAGGAATCCTGGGACTTGCAGTCCACAAGTCCCACAGTGGCCCAGATTGGACCCTCCCTCCTTTAAAACCTCCCCCTGCCCCCATTTCCCCCCAGAGCGCTGATCCGGGCTGGGGGGGGGGTCAGCGGGGCGCAGGAAGCCCACCCCCCTCCCTGCCAGGCGGCCCAGAGAAGGCAGCGCAGGGTCCCGGGGGGGGGGCCTCCCCGGCCAGGGCCTCCCCCTCCCCGCATTCGAGGAGACCCCCGCCAGGCCGGAGGGGCGGGGCCGCGCGGGCGAAGGGGCGTGGCCGGGAGCCGCCTGAGGGGGCCGCATGGCGCGCGGGGCACGACGGGAGGGGCGCCTGGGGGTGGGGGGGGAGTCGAGAGGCCCGGAGGGGGCGAACCACAGGGGAGGGGTCCGGGCCCTGGCGGCCGCTCCTCACCGTCTACGCAGCCAGCCCGGGCGCGGCCCCCGCGGAAAGAGGCCGCGCAGCCAGGGAGGCCCCGCGCTCGCTCTCCCCTCCCGGCCGCCTCCGCCGCCGCCGCCGCCGCCGCCTCCTTCCCTCACAAACTGCCGCGGCTGCCGGCGCCGCCCAATGGCGTCATCAAGCGGCGTCGGGAGGAAAGGGCGGGGCGCGCCGGGCGACGTCGGGGGGAGGGAGCGGCCGCTGGGGCGCGCGTGACGTCACGCGGCGCCGCCTCTCCCGTGGCGCGTCATCCTCGGCCCTCATACCTCCTCGCGCGGGGCACGACGGGATTGGGCGCTCCTGGGTTATGAGGGGGCGGGGCGGGAAAAGGCATGCCGGGAGTTGTAGTCCCGAGCGGGAATATGGGCCTTGGCCTGGGCTGTCCAGCAGCCCTGTTTCCCCATCTCGGGGCCCTGCGCGGCTGGCACCCTGTTTGGCATGGGCACTGCCCCCTCCGCCTGCCCAGAAGCCCCAAGGGCCAGGCCAGGCCTGGTCGAGGGGAGTCTGCAACCCCCTTGCCTGGCACTAGGCCAGGGGTAGGCAACCTCGGCTCTTTTATGACTCGTGGACTTCAACTCCCAGAATTCCTGAGCCAGCTATGCTGGCTCAGGAATTCTGGGAGTTGAAGTCCACAAGTTGAGCCCTCTTAAAGCAGGGCTGGGTGAGGAATCCTGGGAGTTGTAGTCCAGATACCTTAAAGCAAGACTGGGCGGGGAATGCTGGGAGTTGTAGTCCAGACACCTTAAAGCAGGGCTGGGAATCCCAGGACTTGCAGTCCAGACACCTTAAAGCAGGGCTGGGAATCCCAGGACTTGCAGTCCAAACACCTTAAAGCAGGGCTGGGAATCCTGGGACTTGCAGTCCAGACACTTTAAAGCAGGGCTGGGAATCCTGGGACTTGCAGTCCAGTCACCTTAAAGCAGGGCTGGCTGGCTGAGGAATCCTGGGACTTGTAGTCCACAAGTCCCACAGTGGCCCAGCTATGCTGGCTCAGGAATTCTGGGAGTTGAAGTCCACGGGTCATAAAAGAGCCGAGGTTGCCTACCCCTGCACTAGGCCTCTTGCAGGGTGTCCCCTCAGTCCTCAGGCAGCGCCCCCCCCCAAAAAGACACAAGGCCAGGCATGTGAAACCAATCACAATTTTATTTGCACTGCAGTTCCAGGCTGACGGGTGATGCCTGCGGGAGGCGTCCTCGGCGCCGTCTTCGGACCAGGAGCCAGACCACGAGGGACAGCAGGGCCACCACCGCGGCGCCCGTCGGCAGCAGCAGCAGCGGCCAGCCCGGCACTTGCTTCCCATCTGGAGGAGAAGCACAGAGAGAGGCAGCTTGTGGGGTGTCCGAACCCCAAGAATGAATGCTTGAGCCAAGCGGCAACAGCCAAAAAAGCCGACACAATCCTGGGTTGCATAAACAGAGGCAGAGAATTGAGATCACGCGAAGTATTAGTACTGCTTTGTAAAACCTTAGTAAAGCCACACCTGGGATGCTGCAGCCAGTTTTGGTCACCTTATCACAAAAAAGATGTTGAGAGATTGGAAAAAAATCAGAGAAGAGCAACTAAGACGATCCAAGGCCTGGAGGCTAAAACATACGAAGAACGGCTACGGGACTTGGGTTTGGCTAGTCTAGAGAAAAGAAGAAATAGGGGAGACATGATAGCAGTGATCCAGTATTTGAGGGGCTGCCACAAGGAAGAGGGGGTCACGTTATTCTCCAAAGCACCAGAGAAAGGATGAGAAGCAACTGATGGAAACACATCAAGGAAAGAAGCAACCTGGAATTAAGGAGAAACTTCCTGTCAGTGAGGACAATCAACCTGTGGAACAACCTGCCTCCAGAAACCGTGGGCGCTCCATCACTGGAGGTTTTGAAGAAGAGACTAGATAATCACCTGTCTGAGAT